GATAATAGACTTCTGTAGATCAAAAGAGCAATAGATACCGTAAACTGAAAGAAAAGGAAGGAGGAGGAAACTAATGTTAACTTTTAAAAGTTTAAAAGAAACCCTCAAGTTTAACAAAGGGGTAATTTGCATTTTTTTTGTCCTTTTCTAATGTAAAAAACCTGGCAAAATGTCCAGTATAGGATTTCCTGCCTCAGCAGGGGGTTGGACTAGAACAGCGATGGCTAACCTTTTTGCCATCGTGTGCCAAAAGTGTGGGGGGGGAGGGAGTGCAGGGGGGAGGTCACTCGTGTGCATGCCCACACCCATTCTATGTGCCCCGCTCCGCCCCCCACGCATGTATGTGCGACACCCCCCCAGTCCCCCCACTTTTGACATGTGATGGCAAGGTAGGCCTGTTTTTGGCTCTCCCCAGGCTCCAGAGCATTTCTAGGAGGCTGGGAAGGGCGAAAATGGCCTTCCCCACCCCCTGGAGGCCTTCCGGAGGACAGAAAGAGCCTTTTTCCTGACTTCCGGCGGGCCCAAAAGGCCCGAAAATCAGCTGCCCAACGAGCGCATGCAAGCTGGAGCTGAGTTCGCGTGCCCACCGATATGGCTCTGCATGCCACCTGTGGCACGCGTGCCATAGGTTCGCCATCACGGGACTAGAAGATCTCCAAGGTTCCTTTCAACTCTGTTATTCTGTCTTAATCCTTATTTTGGAGGTCAAAACACACTTTAGTTTAGGATTAACAAATTTCATGTTTAATGGAGGGGTGTCCAACCCAGTCAAGACCTGTGGACTGGGGAGTTCTGGGAGTTGAAGTCTACAAATCTTAATTAAGTCATCAAGGTTGGACGCCCCTAATTTAATGGGATAACTTAGATTGCTTTGAGCTATTGTCATACCTTAGGTACCCCAGCAGGTGGCAGCACATGGTTGACATGGTTCAAGATGGAAAAATAAGCAGGACACAGCCTTGGGGGAAGGGGGCACCCCACCTACACCCCAATATCCATGGGCTATCATCTAGACTGGGAAGTCCCCCAAACTCGACAGCGGGAAACCGCTTGAATATCAATGGCAAGAAAACTGCAGGATGGTATTGACAAACATGTTTTACTCTTAAACCTCTACCTTACCACCTCAGTCTACAGATAATCCTCAATTTACGATCACAATTGGGAAACAGAATTTCTGTCGCTAAGTGAGGCAGCTGTTAAATGCGTCACGCTTGATTTTATGATCTTCTTTTGCTATGGTTGTTAAACGAATCCCATTGCCCCAGGATGTTGCAACATTGGTCAATAGATGCCTGTTGCCAAGCTCCTGAATTTTGATCAGGTACTGACGGGGGTGCTGTGAAGGTCATAAGTACAAGGACTGGTTGTAAATCAGTCTTTTCAGTGCTGTTCGAAGTTCAGACAGTTGCTAAACGAATGACTGTAAGTTGAGAACTAGGATACATATCAAAGTACAGGTAGCTCTTGAGTTACGGTCACAATTGAGTCCAAAATTTCTGTTGCTAACCAAGACATTTGTTAAGTGAGTTTTCATCCATTTTTACGAATCTTTCTTTCCACGGTTGTTAAGCAAATCACTGCAGTTGTTAACTTAAGTCACCTGGCTTCCCCATTGACTCTTGTTTGTCAGAAAGACATAAATGGGGATCATGTGACCCTGGGACATTGCAACCGTCATAAGTACAAGCCACTTTCCCAGTGTCTGAATTTTGATCACATGACCATGGGGATGCTGTGACTGTCGTAACTGTGAAAAACGGCTGTAAGTCACTTTTTTCATTGCCGTTGTAACTCCAAACTGTCACTAAATGAATAGTTGTGAGTCAAGGACTACCAATGTCCATTGTAAGTTGAGGACTATCTGTATTTAAGATAAGATATTAAATAGTTCCTTAAACGAAGATGCCAAGCATTATCCACGTGGTCTGCAAAACTTCTATGAGAATCCATTCTTTGTGAGATTTTAATTTCACAGTTCTTTTCATTTCACCTGCTGAGCATCCAATTTTCTTCCTAACTCTGCTGAAGTTAAGAATGAGGGGTTCACCATGATCAAACCTGCCTGATGAATCAACCCTTTTTAGATCTGCATTCCTAATACATGTGCCAACTGAAATGTGATTAGGTATGTTACCTGTTTCAAAAAAAACACACAAAAAAAAGCACCCAACTTGGTTTTTAAAATTTCCAGACTCATCTTACTATTAAATTAACCAACTTTTGGGACTTTACCGTCTTCAACTTCCGCACTGTGCACTTTTACAAATCGTGCTGACCATGCAGAAACCGTCGCTTATTTGTCAAACGGCCCACGCTAATTAACGAAGTTGGAATTTCTGCAAATCGTCCTGGGATTTCCAGGTTACAGTATGCCCAGCACGGACTGTTACTAAGTCAGCCAGATCTTGTAGTCAGCCTTATCCCATTATCTTGATTGATGGCTGTGTTCTGCTCTTCTTGGGGCTTCCCTTGAAGAGGTTCCATAATCCTCACCGGGGGGGCGGGGGCGGGGGCGGTAAAAGGCACTTGTGGGAAGCGGTTGACCAGTAAGGGTGCCAGCTGTTTTCCAAGCCTCATTCCAGGCGTTCGGTCGGAGGTCACTGTCAAAGGTCTGCCTCCGTTGATTAGGGACCTGTCAGGATCAGGATTTTTAAAAGGTGTGTTTGTTGGCTGGAAAATGATTTCCTGAGAAAACACACTTGGTGCCAGTCTTCCTGTCTATAGGGGCAGATTGGTTTTTTTTAGCAAGGCTGCTTCTGTTATAATTAATAGTTGCTTTGCTGAGTTTCGTCAGATTAAAAAAAAGAATTCTGACTTCTACCTTAGAGGAATAGGAGCCATAAATCAATGGAATAATCTGATGTCACCAGAGGTGGGTTTCAGCAGGTTCTGACCAGTTCTGGAGAACAGGTAGCGGAAATTTTGAGTAGTTCGGAGAACCGGTAGTAAAAATTCTGACTGGCCCCGCTCCCATCTATTCTCTGCCTCCCGAGTCCCAGCTGATCGGGAGGAAATGGGAATTTTGTAGTAACCTTCCCCTGGAGTGGGGTGGGAATGGAGATTTTACAGTATCCTTCCCCTGCCATGCCCACCAAGCGATGCCCACAGAACCGGTAGTAAAAAAAAAATGAAACCCACCACTGGACGTCACCCTTTGCAGTGGGTTGAACTAATGCATGAAACCGTAGCTTAACCACTGTGTGTTTACTAAGCCACAATTGACCATAAAATTACTAGAGAAGATAGTTGAAACTAATTACACAGAATAATAAAGGTGGGATAAAAATCTACTAAATAAATAAATAAATAACAGAGCATGTCAACCATTGGAGACAATATTAAAATTGTTAAATAATTGAATAAAAGTAATAACAGATTAGAATAGAATAGAATAGAATAGAATAGAATAGGTGATGGCTAACCATTTTTTCCTCGGGTGCCAAGTGTGTGTGCACATGCTATCTCACGCGCGCACCAGTGGTGGGTTCCTCCCGGTTCGGCCGAGCCAGTAGCAGTGATGATATGACGTCACCAAACCGGTTCTGCCCCCCCCGCCCCCCCACGTTATTCTTACCTTTTATTTGGCCCCACCCCCAATCTATTGCTGCCTCCTGAGTCCCAGCTGATGGCTACAGGGAAAAAATCTGTTTAAATTCTTGTCGCGGGGCTTCAAAGGGCCGCCCTACAGCTGATCAGTGGTAAAAGGCAGTTTGGTGGTAGACCGGTGCCTCCAAAAACAAATGAGTAGACCAGTGCCTGGAAAAATAAATGGGTAGACAAGTGCCTGCAAAAATACATGAGAAGACCGATGCCTCCAAAAACAAATGGGTAGACCGGTACAGCTCTGCAAGCAGTTAAAAGCCTGGTAGACCAGTACCTCTGCTAAATCCTAAAGAATTGTCACATGACCATCAAGCCACACCCACAAAATAAGCCACGCCCAAAGAACCGGTAGTAAAAAATTTTAGAACCCACCCCTGGCGCGCACGTGCCCACACTCATGATGCAATGCCCCTCCCGCATGCCCCACCCCTCTGCACATGCACGTGACCCCCCCATGAGTGCTCCAGCTGAACTCCAGCTGAACTTTGGCTATAAAAACCTAATGGAAAATTCACCCTTGACAGAATTCAAAACTCCTTTCCAAACTGACTAAAGTTTGTTCCAAAACAAAGTCTATTTTTAAAAATGGGAGTAGAAGCACACAACCCTTGTGATTTCCGGAAAGTAATACGGAAAGGTGATTGCTAACATTTTTTGATGATAAAGTCATGAATAGTAGTTTCTCTTGAAATTTCAGGTATTGCAATTATTACATTCCATTCTTCTGCCTAATCTTCTTAAAGCTGATTGTCCTTTCAAAGCCTGTTATTGTTGATGCAGACTAACAGGATGTGAATCATGAATTTATTCAGGATCATATTAAGGGAGGAAAAGTTTAATTGGAGTCTTTCCCCCAGTTTACACCAAAACAAAACAGAAACAGAACAAACCAATTATGCAGAGAAGTACTGGGCTCTTATCTTAAACACAAGAATTTAAGACATCGCAATGTTTCAAGGACAACCTGGAGTTCAGTCTATTACAGAACACAGAATAAACAGAGTTGGAAGGGAATTTGGAAGTCTTCTAGTCCAAGCCCCTGTTCAAATAGGAAACCCTACACCATTCTGGACAAATGGCTGTCCAATTTCTTTTTGAAACCCCCCCCAATGATGGAGCACTCACAACTTCTGCTGTCCCACTGATTAATTGTTCTGTCAGAAAATTTCTCTTTAGTTCTAGGTTGAATCTCTATTTGTTAAATTCCAGTTTATTTATTTATTTTTATTTTATTTTATTTTTATATCAAATTGTTACTTCTTGTTCTGCCTCCAGGGGCTTTGGAGAATAGGTTGCCCCCCCCTCCTTTCTATGGCAGCCCCTCAGATACTGAAACACAGTGATCATGTCAAACCCCCCCTCCCCAATCCTTCTTTTCACTAGACTAGACATACCCAATTCCTGCAGACGTTCTTCGTATGTTTTAGCCTTCAGTCTCCTAATCATCTTTATTACTCCATCCCATTTTTGGGTAGACCAGGTTGCACATAATCTCTCCCCTGGTATAGCTGACAAAGCAAGAAGAGCCCGTGACTTAGAGGTTAATACATCAATCTAACATGCAAGTAGTCCAGGTTCGAATCCCAGAAGGGTATGGCTAGCTGGCGAGAGCTAAATAACTCGAAATATATCTATACTAGTCTCCCTTTATTTCATTGTCGGTAAAATATATCTTTGTTGCTCTTCTCTGCATTCTTTCTTGCGTCTCAACATCTTTTGATGTTGACTAGTGGGAGCTTGGAATGTTTTGAACTTCAGGAGACATGGTAGGACTGCCCAGCTGCAACAATATTTAGTACTGCATAGCATGCCTTTTGGCTGCTCCTCAGACTACTCTGTGCAATCTTTGTAATGTTTTGTAATGTTTCTGGCCTGGGAAAGCTGTTCGGGGGAATTTTGGGGTTGAAGGGGAAAGTTGGGTGAGAGATGAGTGGATTGGTCCTTCTCCCATGGGTGGGAGCTGGGGGGGAGGAGTGGCTCTCTGCTTGGTGGGTGAGAGCGACTGGGCAGGGTGCTGTTTGTGTATTGGGTGAATGTATTGTGAGTGTGTTGGGGGGGGATAAGGGTGTGCTGGATGTGACCCCCTCCGCAGCAGTGGGGAAGGGTTGGTGTGAGTTTGAGAGCGCCGAGAGCAAGTGCTATAGTGCCTGTAGGGCTCACCTTACCTGGCTAGGTGGCTCAGTGGCTAAGACGCTGAGCTTGTCGATCAGAAAGGTTGGCAGTTCGAATACCTAGTATAGGTCTCCTGCGTGAGCAGGGGGTTGGACTAGATGACCTCCAGGGTCCCTTCCAACTCTGTTAAGTGTTACTGTTACTGCCTCTGATGATTGGTCAGTTGGAGGAGGTTTCCCCCTTTTTAAGGAAGAGTGTAAGGGATGGGGGATGGAATGGTTTGTAGGGAAGGCAGAGGAGGGAGGTCTCTTTCAGTGGTGTCGGGTAATGGGAGATAAGGAAGCGGGGGGGGGGGCAGGCACGGGGAATGCAACCTTGGTGTTGAGTACAGGAGGTAAATCAGGGGTGAAATCCAGCAGGTTCTGAGTTTAAAGAACTGGCAAATACCACATCTGGCTGGCCCCAGAGTGGGGTGGGAATGGGAATTTTGCAGTATCCTTCCCCTGCCACGCCCACCAAGCCACACCACACCCACCAAGCCACGCCCACAGAACCGGTAGTAAAAAAAAATTGAATTTCACCACTGAGGTAAATATTTGCACAAGATCGGGTTGCTGTGGGTTACTGCAGGTATCAATGAAACCCAGGAGTGGAGATAGACTCCCCCTCTCAGGTAGCTTGGTAATGCCCAATCAAAGTTCAAGAGAGGACAGGTAACAGGTGTAAAATTGACTCAGAGATGACAAATGATAAATTCTGCAGGCTTAGAGCTAGTCAGGATTAGTCAGAAAGTCTTTCAACAGAACTAACATGTCCACTGCCTTCTAAAGGAAAATGTCCTTCAGCGCGTAGTTTTCCACTTAGGTATCTCTGTTCTGGTAAATTCTTAAAGGTAATCCTTGATTTACATCAGTTCATTTAGTGACCGTTCAAAGTTACAACGGCACTGAAAAAAGTGACTCATGACCGATTTTCCCGCTTAACAACCGTTGCAGTGTCCCTGGGGGTCACATGATCAAAATTCAAATGCTTGGCAACTGACTCATGTTTATGACAGCTGCAATGTCCTGGGGTCACGTGATCATCTTTTGTGACCTTCTGACAAGCAAAGTCAATGGGGAAGCCAGATTCACTTAACAACCATATTCCTAACTGAACCACTGCAGTGATTCACTTAACAACTGTAGCAAGAAAGGTCGTAAATGGGGCAAAACACATTTAATAACTGTTAACATTTAGCAACAGAGATTCTGAGCTCAGATGTGATCATAAGTCGAGGATTACCTGCAATGTATTCCTTTGTTTAAAATACATGCCTATCCAGATCCTGTGGAAATCCAAACTAATAGTGACTTTGTGGAAACTTTTCATTTAGTTTATAAGGACCGCAAAGTAAAATAAAATAATAATAAAAAAAAACGTAAGGGGCGATTCTTTGGAGACAGAATAGGAAAGCGCCAGGCAGACTCCATATTACAAACTCCTTTTTAATTTTCCCATAATAAAGATAAAAGGCTTTGTGGTTCCTGACCTCACTGCAAAGGTCATCATTAGAAAAAGGTAATAAAATGTTAACTCTGATTTAAATGCTGTCTGGATTGACTGAAACTGATAGGAGCACTTGAGTGGCTCAGATATCTGGAGGGGTGGGGGGGACATGGAGGGTCCAGAAAGCTGACTTAAAACCACTTGCAATTTTGTTATTCCTCTTCCACACAGACCAGCTGGAGCAAGCCACACAGTCTCTAGATCCCGTTGAGCAGTTCATGTGTTCAATCTGTCTTTCACGGGGGGATCTGGCCAGTAAGATATGGCCAAGTGTCTTCTCTTGGTATCCGCTTGGCATTCTGGGCACTTTTTGGCAAGCTGTGTGGGGAAACACAAGAGCAGGTCAGTGGTGGATTTCACATTATGTTACTACCGGTTCGCCTGCGCGGGCACACACCTGCCTCCTACACGTGCACTTGGCCTTCCGCGCATGCGCCTGGCCTCAAAAACGTGCCTAAACAGGATGGCATAGAGCCGGGGTGGGTGCACCAATGATTTCCACTACCGGTTTGGGTGAACAGATCCAAAGCGGCTGAATACCCCCTCTGCTCATGATCCTTGCGCTAAAGCGGTTTTCGGTCATCTTTTGATGCCTATCCTGTTTAAGACAGTGAACTAAAGTCCAAATAATTTGTTTGTATCCTGCCTCTATTATTTTTACAAATACCTCAAGGTGGTAAACATATCCAACATGCCTTCCTCTTCGTATTTTCCCCCAACAACAACCCTGTGAGGTGGGTTGGGCTGAGAGAGAGAAAAAGGCCCAAAGCTAGCTTCCATGCCTAAGATGGGACAAGAACTCCCCATCTCCTGATGATTGGCCCAAAGTTACCCAGCTGGCTTTTATACTAAGGTGGGACTAAAACTCCCCATCTCTTGGTGATTGGCTCAAACTCACCCAGCTGGCTTTTGTGCCCTTAAGGCAGGACTAGAACTCACAGTCTCCTGCTTTCTAGCCTGGTGCCTTTGTTGAGGGTAAAACTTCTCTCTGCATAGTAGGCAACAGACTGGACAGCAAAGAGATACGTTGCTGATTAAACACACAGATACTCACAGACTCTGAACAGTGAAAAAAAAAACATTCTTTACTCTTAGTGAAAAAACAAACTTGGTTTCTCAAAACAATGATAACACGTCTTCGAATAATCACTCTCCGACACAAAACATAGTTTGCTTACAGTTCTCTTCAGTCACACACAGTCCCTCTTCAGGAGATCAATCATCAAATAGCAGGAGCAGGAGCTCCCGGGCTTCCTGTCTACTTTTATGGCTGCCTAATAATAGCACAGCCAATTATTCTTCTTATAACATTTAAAGTCACAAACATAGTTTTTCTATATATTACCTACCCAACCGTAGGATAAATATCCAACAGCCTTAACCACTAGACCAGTGTTGGTGAACCTCTTCAGCATCGAGTGCTGAAACGGGAGCGCGTGCGCGCAGGGGAGTGCCGGAAACTGGAAGAGCAGCTGCCTAGCACTCATGGGCGCGTGGGAAGGCTGAGCTTCTGGTTTCCAGTGTGCACATGTGCGCTGGTCACCTGGTCTTTTGCTTTCTGGCATGCATGCATGCGCGAAGACCAGCTGGCTGGCGCGCATGCGTGCACCAGAACCCAGAAGAGCAACGGGCAACGGCTGGTGTGCCCGGAGAGATGGCTCTGCTTAGAATAACAGAGTTGGAAGGGGCCATGTAGGTCATCTTGTCCAACCCCCTGCTCAAGGAGACCCTATGCCATTTCAGACAGGTGGCTGTCCAATCTCTTCTTCAAGACCTCCAGTGATGGAGCACCCATAACTGCTGAAGGCAAGCCGTTCCACTGGTTGATTGCTCTCATTGTCAGAAAATTTCTCTTAATTTCTAGGCTGAATTTCTCCTGGATCAGTTTCCATCCATTCTTCCTTGTCTGGCCTTCGGGTGCTTTAGAAAATAAATTGATCCCATCTTTTTTGTGGCAGTCCCTCAAATATTATGAGACTGCTATCATGTCTTCCCTAGTCTTTCTTTTCATTAAACTAGGCATAATCCAATTCCAGCAACTGTTCTCTGTATGTTTTAGTCTCCAGGCCCCTAATCATCTTTGTTGCTCTTCTCCACACTTATTCCAGAGTCTCAACAACAACAATAAAAAAGTCTAAACCTCAGCTACAGAGGTTCTCTTCTCTTGGTTTCTTTTTTTTAAAAATAGTTTATTGACTTTATATACATACATAAAATATAGTAACATTTCTGTTTAACATCGGATATGCAGCGTTTATACATGAATACATGATATGTACCTGGTGTCATTTGTGCTGTTTATTGCTATTTAGTTACAACACCTTTTACTCCTTCTTTGATTTTATCATTTATCCATTCATACCACCTTCCCCACACAGTATAATAATCTGAGTTCTCATCATTATTTATTTCATGGGTTAGTTTGCTCATCTCTGCGCACTCCAGTATTTTCCTAATTATAAGTTCTTCTGGTGGCAGGGCTTTCTCTTTCCAGTATTGTGCGTAAGCCAGTCTGGCAGCTGTTCCCATTTTAATGAATGGGAAGAGGCATGGAACAAAAACCATAAATTGACCAGAGCTGCGATGTATAAGGAAAACCAATACAAAATGCTCCACAGGTGGTATCTAGCACCTGCCAGATTAGCAAAGATATTCCCTAACATGCACCCAAATTGTTGGAAATGTGGCCATGGTCAGGGCACCTTCTTTCACATGTGGTGGACATGCCCCGAAGCGAAAAGATATTGGAGTAAAATTCGGAGATGGTTACAAGAAATAATTGGAGAAGATATTGAATTGACACCGGAAATATTTCTCCTGGGAATAGTAAAGAAGGGGTATGGAAAGAAAATGATTCACCTATTAATACATATAACCTCTTCTCTTGGTTTCATTTATTTAGCGATCTGAAGGTGGCTGCCAAAGTTTAAAAGTTAATGTTCAAAATATTTATTTTAATCTAAGGATGACATTTACAGCATTTATCCTACGAGATGAAGACTGTATTCTGTAGCCAGCAGAAAGGACCTTCTTTTGTATGCCAGAAGGACCATCAATAGGAGCATCTTCAAGACCACTTTTCTGGCAGGCATTAACAATCAGGCTGGCTTGTAATGGGAGAGGCAGAGAAAGGCCCTGTCCTTCAATGCTCACCAGCAAAAGGGATCTCTTGGAGTAAGCAGCCAGAATATGTTTTAATTTAATAAATAGAAGAGCATGTTTATAACTCAGAGTCGAACTGTGGGATCCCTGGTGCTCTGTCGGTTTGGTTGTTTTCTGGCAGACGATTCGTGACCCAACTAGGTAACATCATCAGTGCTAGAAAGGAGTGGGGGTTTGGCCCTTGTTTGTATACTAGTGGCTTGCCCAATACCCCAATTAAAGAACTACCAACTCAGACAATTAAACAGTAAGCAGCAGTGTAATCAAAGAACTACCAAGAATAGCTCCACCAACACTGATAGGGCAATAACAATAGCACTTATATACTGCTTCACAGTGCTTTCTAGCCCTCTCTAAGCAGCTTACAGAGTCAGCATACTGCTCCCAACAATCTGGGTCCTCATTTTACTGACCTTGGAAGGATGGAAGGTTGAGTCAACCTTGAGCCAGTGGGAATCGAACTGCTGAACAGCTGGCAGCAGTCTGTCAGCAGAAGTAATCTGCAAAACTGCATTCTAACCAGTTTCAGTTTATTTACATTTATATACCGCCCTACTCCCGAAGGACTCAGGGTGGTGAACAGCCAAGATAAAACACATACAATATAAAATTTAAAAAACAATTTAAAATGTATTAAATAAATTTGGCCCATACTAATTAAAATACCCCTGTTTTTAAAAACAAATTAAAGTTAAACAATTAAAAAGAGTTAAGCCAGCCCAGCTTGTTGAAATTAAAAAGTCTTGAGGGCGCGGCGGAAAGTGCGTAAATCCAGGATCCTCCGCACCTCTGGGGAGAGTTCGTTCCAAAGGGCAGGTGCCCCCACAGAGAAGGCCCCACCCACCCCTGGGGGCCGCCAGTCGACACTGTTTGGCCAACGGCACCCTGAGGAGCCCCTCTCTGTGGGAGCGTACTGGCCGGTGAGAGGCTACCAGTGGCAGAAGGCGGTCTCGTAGGTATCCAGGTCCTGAGCCATGGAGTGCTCTAAAGGTGGTAACCAATACCTTGAAGCGCACCTGGAAGACCACCAGGAGCCAGTGCAGCTCGCGCAGTAGAGGTGTTACATGGGAACGCCATGTCGCTCCCATAACCACCTGCGCGGCCGCATTCTGGACCAGCTGGAGCCTCTGGGTGCTCCTCAAGGGGAGCCCCATGTAGAGAGCATTGCAGTAGTCCAGGTGGGAAGTCCACTGAGCCACCATGACAAGCTACTGTATATAACAATAGAAACAAACTCTTCTCCCTTCTAGCACTGATGATACTGCTTAGTTGAGTCATGAAACGTCTGCAGGACAACAACCAAGTTCAGAAAGCACCAACAATTCCAGTCCTCCTCCTCCTCTTTCCACTTCCCTTCTCCTCCTCTCTGCAAACCCCATTTCCTTCTACTGTAGAAGTGATGTTACT